CTCCCGTACGCGATGTGAAATACCGCGGAACACACCCAATACTATTAACAAATATCGCGTGACTTTCTATGATACAAATTACTCAATCTAACAACTTGCATTTTTGATTCGAAAGAATAAGATAATGAATAAATCACTTTTAAATTGACGATATAAAACGCAACGCGACCATCGGAAGCATAATCTGCGATAAAGAAATAGTTATTAGTCCGCAACGAAACGATATTTTACAATCTTTGTCATTCGATCTAATCCTCGAAATAAATTATGTGAGCGAAGTTTCCAGCGACAATAGTTGTTATTAATTGCAGCAGTTAATCGAGATAATTTTCAATTACATGTACATAATGTAACAATGTGCGATAAGCGACTTTCTTTACTTTCTACCCGTTCGAGTTGCGAAGAACGACGGAGCGAATTAGCGCGAACGCCGAAGTCGTACAAATTTCTCTCTTTTTTCCGAAAATGGAACAGATTACACGAAATCGATAGATAATTAAAAGCGCGGTGCGTAAATGAGATGTAACCGCGACAAAGTACCACGGTTTACATTCATATTTTAGATGAGTTAGTCTCGTAAAATGTCTATGTATACGTTAATAAAGAGCTGTCGCCTTAACATGCAATTCGTTTCTCATTACAAGTTATAGAAATTGAATAATTAATCGAGGAACCTTACTTGTTACTAATAAAGGTGTGCAAATCAATAGCGTTTTATCCCTGCATTCATCGGGATCGAGTCTTGGAAACCGATAACGCAAAAGTAATACGACGCACGGAGCGACTCTCGCTGCTGCCTGCCGGCTCGACGTTCAGCGAGCGAATGATAGTGCGGCGACCTTCAAATACACGATGGCATGCAAAAACATCGTACGTCACCGCGCCGAGAGGAAAACAACGACGAACATTGAGAATTCGTTGTCCCGCCTACGAAATTGAAAATACTGTACAGAATATTTTACATTACCTTGTTTCGCGACTGTTACTACGTTTTGTGTATCATTCTGTGGACTTATTGGTATTGATTAAATGAACGATTGATTCTGTTCAATCGAGAAAAAATTTCGAAGCAAAAATCGTTGTTACTTAAATTCTAGTTACTAAGATTAGAGATTTCACCTCAATAGTTGATGCATATGTACTATATATTACTAAATCACAAATCTTCATTCACTATAAATTTAAAAGAGAAGTGAAGCACACCGCGCTTCGAGAAAACCAATCGGTATCGCGAAAAAGAGGCCTCAACTGTTCGATATTAACGACATTCACGCTGGTAACATCTCTTTTTAGAAAGGGTCTCTTTTTAGAAAGGGACTCTCTTTTAGAAAGGGATAGGAAGAACTTGTAATTAATATCGCCTACCTATTTTTTTGCTGACCTTTACAAAGCATATTAAGTAAGTTTTATTAATTTCAAAACGTACACGGAAACAAATGCTGTTGAATTAAAAAAAAAATGAAGCTGCTTGAATTAAACGTTAACGTCACGGGCTGCCGCAAACATAAATAATTCACTCAATTGTATTTGCTATGGATTTCAATTTCAAGCACTGAACTAAATATTCAGATTATTAAGCGACTATCTGATGTTTTTCATTCATTAATATTGATGTTGTTTCAATTACATTGATCTTGTTGATACATCGTTTTTCCGTGTATACATTGTCAAGCGAGCGAACGGAAATGCATCGGTGAGCATTAGTCAAAAATTCCGCGCGTCCTCCGTCTCCGAAGAAAACAAACTTTTCTCATCAAATTTAGCTTTCCCGACTGTGCAAACACGAGACACCGTGCAAACTCGAGAACGCCCCGGAACAACGGTACTCTCGCAGAAGCGAGCGGCCATGCCAAGCCGCGAAACAAATTCGCGGTCTGCACACGAGAAAAACGCACTCGCTTAGCGTTTTCTGCGCAAAACGGCGCGTAAAAACGCGTGTTTACGAAGCTCCAAGGAAATGAGTTTCTCACAATGCAGCGGGCGCGGTCGCGCGCGCGCGCGCTGCGACATAATAAAATGTTATGGGGAAGAAATCGTTTCGCGCTGTAAAATGCTAAAGCGGTTTTCCAGGGTGCTGCGCAAACCCGGGGACCCCCGGTTCCTTGATTGCAATATCCCGGACCACCCGGGGGGACGTTAGCGTAAAGAAAGTCTTGAGGTTTATTGCGGCGATGCCACCTGAAATATAAATAGGAGGTCGCGTCGCGAATCCATCGTGATTACAGCTGTTTTCGATAACAATGAAGTCTAGGAGAGATCTCTGATAACATAAATGGCAGGCGAGGAAAATTCCTGTCCTGCTTCTTCCTGGAGAAGCGCAAAAAATGGGCAATGTCTTTTACATCTGAATAAATGCGAGGGCTAAGAGTCTTAAGTTATCAATTTTCCTGCAATTTAAAGGGCGGTCATTATATTGTAAAATGCACATTTAAGATTTACAAATTTCGGAGCAATTCATTTTCATAAGCAATTAAGTCATTATGTATAGACATTCTTCTTCTCTTTATTAATTAATTTTCATATCTGAAAAAATATGAGGGCTAAGAATCTTAAGTTATCAATTTTTCTGCGATATATTTAAAGAGCGGTCATTATATTGTAAAGTGCACATTTAAAATCTACAAATTTCGGAGCAATTAATTTTCATAAGCAATTAAGACTTTATATATACGCATTCTTCTTCTCTTCAGATGAATCTAAAGACACCGACTGACTGAGGCCGTCCTTCGCGTACTCCGCAATCCGTAAGTCAACGTTTCCAACATTTGCGCGGTCCGGAAAGAGCTAAATTTGCTTGCCCTGGCCAAACTAATATCTATTCATAATTAACTACGGTACGTCTATTATCTAATAATTAACCCGCAACCGCACACACCGCATATAGATGCGAGTGCGGTCGCAATACGCATTATTATGGGAATTGTATGTGTATGCGTGCGCGTGCAAATATATAATATATAATAGTGCGCGCGGGCAAACAATCCCATCGCACAAATTGGCTTATGTGACGCGCAAAGAGACAGATGCGCGCTTTCGCAAGCTTCAATTATTTTCCGCGACATTTGCAAAACTCCCGACAGCCGCTATTCTTTCTTCCACGTCTCACAGTCCGGGGATTCAGTTTCCGTGCAATTAGGAGGAGGAAGAAAAGAAACACCGGGCAAGGTAAATAATTCGATCGCGCAGCTCCGTGGGAACGTAAAGAAATCGCGAGAGCCGCCCCGCGAAAAACTTCCGGCGAGCCCTTTTCTTTTCGACTGATTATACGGGGAATGCGCCGAAGTAACGGAAAAACCGCGATGAACTTCGCGAGAGGCCGGATCCTCCGCGAATGCCGAGGATTCTTTAATATCAAATACCGGCATTCCGCCCGCCGAAACTCCCGTGTTTCTTACGCGCACTTTTAGGAAGATGAAACTCCGAATCGGGAAGGAGAGGAATGCCACTTCCGGGGGAGAACGGGAGGAGAGCGTTCTCACGACCTCCTCACATCACCGAAACGACGAAACATCGAGAGCGGAGATGGATTATTCGTACGGAATCTCGCTTTCGCGTTTGCGGCAAGCGGCACCGTCGGAATTCAATTTTGTAATTGACAAATGCATATACGTGCACGCTCTTTCCGCGCGAGCGAATCAAATGGCGCGAGCCGGTTCTCAGCGCGGAATCTCGCAGCTGCCCGCGTCGCGTTTACGCGAACAGGAACATCCCCGATAATCTCGATCGCGTTGGAACACGGAGAGAATATATTTTCTTAAAGTTTATCCTGAAAATCATGTAATCGTGGGACAACCTGGCATTTCGAACAACTTTATCAGAGTTTTGTCAAATTTTGCCATACACTCTACTAGTAATTATACTTATTGTTAGTATACATTTTGTTGTACTAGTGAAATGTATGGTAAAATTCCAGAAAACTCTCATAAAGTTCTTTAAAATGAATGATATCGTTATGTTAGTCCAAATTTGGAACCAAAACGTCGTTTTTTTTAAATAAAAACATTGGCCAGTGTAGGTCGTTTGAAAAAAAACTACTACATATCATTGGCTTTAAACCACTGGCGATATTACATCTATTTGTGAGTTCTTTAAAATTGCGAGTTCTATAAAGCTCTTAAAATGCTCCCGCGATTTTCAGGATAAATTTTAGAAGCAAATTCTCCCCGTGTGGGAAATTTCCAGAGGGGTGCTTCGGCGATCGTGATCGCGCGGCAGATCGAGCTTTTGGGCTTTCGATCTTGACGATCGCGTCGTTCGGCGGGATTCCATCCGCGCCGCCCGCCGTCGGGGTTTCCATCCGGTCACGTGGTCATCGTGGAAAACACGTCGAGCACACTTCTGCGGCATTCCGGATAAAGGGCGTGGCAGGCTGCGCCCTCCGCCTGCTCGCCCAGCCGTTCGGCCGCCCGATATTCCCGATCCCCGTACTCGTCGTACTCTTCCCGGGTGCTGGAGGGCCTGGAATCCCATGGTACTCGCATATACACGGTGCGCGGTGGCTGCGCCGCGCGGTGAGAAATTACAACAAAGCGAGAAATATCGCGCTGGTGTACGGTTTATCGAAAAATCCCGCGGCGCGCGACGAGATGCGATGTTTATTAAATATCCTCGCCGTCTCCACAGTGACATTATGTTCGCGTGTAATTGACGTTACGCGGGGCCGACGTTTTATCGCGTGGCGCGGCTAATCGATTTTTCTCACCGGCGACGCCTGCTCCCAACGATTATCGATAACAGAGACATTCTTTCACATAAGCGGAGGTCAACGGGGATATATATATATATATATATATATATATATATATATATGCGGGATACATCGTAATATATAACACGCGGGATATATCTTGGAGCGAGTATTACAGTCGACGTAGTCTCGGCGAGAATTCGGACCGAAACGATTAGTTAATATCGCGTTATTGAAGCTCAATAAAACCATTTACCGATCAGGAAGAAAGTTAATATCAATATCACAAATTTTTCAAGCGCGTGAAATTCAAGAAAAGAGACGTCTCTATTTAATTACGATAACCCTTTCTTTCTGTCTTCTTTGCATCTGCGTCCGAGAGAGAGAGAGACTTGCGTTTCGCGACGTGAGATCCGAGCGCGTCAATTTTCCCAAATAGCACGCGATTCATTTACCTGAGGAACGTCTGCACCAATTGTCCCAGCAAACCGTGACGGACGTCGAATGGGACGTAAGCGACTTCGCAAATGGCCCTGAGTAAACACTCTTTGCCACCAAAGCCGTACATGGCCGCCACCCTTTCGAACATCCTGTAAAAGCTCCACCTGCTCCTGCTGGCTCTCGTGTAATACACCCCCGGCTCGGTGAAATCCGTGGCGTTGCTCGGCAAGGTGTACCACATTTTCGCAAACACGCCCACAATTACGCTCTCGCGATCCAGCTGCAGCGGAGTGCCCAGACCGAAGATCAGCTGCGAAAGCGGAAGGCGGAAAATATAATGACGCTCTCACCGGAACGAGAAATTATCTTCACGTCGCTGTATCCCCGCGTCGCGATGCTTCACCGACATTGTTGCCGCGTTATCGTCAAATCGAATCCGCCTAACATCCAATTCTACGAATGTAGTTTAATCTCGGTTTAATTTACTTTCCATCTTTTTCCAACTCTTAGGACTAGATCAAGATAAAAAGAAAGTTAAACCGAGATTAAAGTCGATCTGCATCGATAGAAATGGATGCAAGAGTTTAAAATCCTTAGAGGACGGATAGGTTTTTTCCCGATTTTTATTTATAATTTTATAAAACGAGGAACAAGCGAGCGCGGTGGAGCTTAATAATAGGCTCCTCATCCTCTGAACGTTCAAAGAATCTATTTCGTAGTTTTAAGCTTTCTCTTGTCACACACAGCTGTATGAATATACAAGTTGTTCTGTAATACCCGTCTCACCTCTTATTTGCAGATAGAGCGGACTAGACGAGGAGTTGCTGATTATACGTAGCCGTTGCCGTGTGTCATAAACAAATTCCCGCGCGCCTAGCAGCGCCAATCGCGGGACGGCCGCATCTCGCCGCGCGCTTGAATTGGCCGGTAGGCCGGGCTAAGACAGCGAGTTTTAACAATTAATAACTCGTTACCCATTGCGATATTTGCAAAATGATAGAGGACTTTTCGACTCAGTCTAATCCGCTCGATCCGTAAATAAGAGGTGAGACGGGTATTACATAACACCCTGTATAAAAAGATAACTTTCGAGCTTTCGCGTCTCGCGGCTACGAGTTTCGACTCAAATCGATAGCTCTGCTAGATAATGACGCTCGTCACGTCGTTCAATGCGCTGGTTATTGCCACTCCCGCCGCATCGAGAGGATGATGTCGCGCGCGTTTAATTATTCTCGCCGGCGCGACGGTGTAACAGAGCGATGCCGCGTTGTGTACACCGACGAGAATGAATCGCGATGACCGCGACAGCACGTCGTGGATTCCAAATTCCGTGGATCGTCCACGAAGTTCGTCCAATTTCCGCGCGCGGGCCCGCGCGGACCGCCCCTCGTATGAATTTCCGATAAAACCGCAAATTTCCGCGTAGAATCGTTCCGCCGCCGAGTACCTGGGGTGCCGGGAAGGGGGGGGGTGGTGGGAAATGCACGCCGAAGAAAAAAAAGGAGCCGACGCGCAATAATTCTTTCTCCCCCTCCCCCTCTCCCGGGGCAAACAATGCGCGCGCGGACCCGACATTATGCGCGAATAATTGATTGCGAGCGTATCGTACGAGCGTAATTCCGGCGCGGGTGTCTCTCGCCGACGAGGGCTGTCCCTTCGCGCTCGAAATATTTCAAGCTTTGAGAATTATCGCGCTCGCTCTTCCCCTTTCTCTCCCCCCCCTCCTCTCTCTCTCTCTCCCTCCGTTAGTAACAGATACAAACCCTTCTATATCTTGAATAAAGCAAAGGATTTAAAATATAATGCATTAGAAGTACGAGAATTACTTGTATTTCTTCGAGTCTCGCGAGCTTGATGACACTGTAAAGTCATCAAAGTGGCTTGCTCACTTACTCACTTAATCGCAGGACTAATGTGAAATTAATTAAAATTCTCGACAAGACTTAATTACTCGCGGAAATAAAGATAAATAATTTGTTCGTGGAACAAACACGCGCTTTCCTCTCTTGCTAAATAAATGTGCACCAGCGAAAACTTGCTAGTCCCGGACAAACGTAGCAAGTCTTCGCTTTCAATGATAATACACAAGAGTATATGCTCGTTCGCCGCGCCGAGAGAGAGAGAGAGAGAGAGAGAGAGAGAGAGAGAGAGAGAGAGAGAGAGAGAGAGAGAGAGAGAGACTCGGAATGTAATAATCTCCGATTTCTGTTTTCCGACCTAAGTCGCCGGTGCGATCGCGCCTTCAATTAGCGCGGAGTAATGAATGTCGGCGCGGCGTCCATTCGCGCGCCCCGGGAGTCCAACCGGGCAGTCTATCACCGGCTCGTGGAATGTATCGATTTCGCTCGGCGACTGCCGCGGCGACACGACGTGTGCGAAAAAGAGAAAAAAAGGGAACGTACCGGTTTCCCACACAGATCCGACGTACGAAGCCCGGGCTGAATCTCGTTAAACTGTCCTCGCCAGACGCGCCGTCGCGCCAAGGTAGGTACCGATCCCTCCGTGGAAATTCTCGCGGTTTTATCGAAATTCATACGCGCGCCGGCATGTGTCGCGTCCGCGAGGGGCGCGCACCGGCAACATCCTGTACATATGTGCGGTCCCATGTCCGCGCCGAGCCTCCCCCCTCGTCCACCCTGCGGCCCGGGCGCGTCAGCTGTCACGGAGATTGAATGGGCCACGAAAGATCGGGGCGCGCGTTGTACGCGCGCCGGCGTATCGGCACGGCCGGCCGTCTAATAATTCTCCGTCGACGTCAACGCCCGCGGGGCCGAATAATTACCCCGCGCGTCGCCGAAAAAAACGTCCCGAAAATGCGCGCGATATCCTCGCGCTGGTCGATTTTCTTCGCGCCGTGCCGGGAACGTCGGGGACCATCCGCCGGTGGTGTTTGCGGGGAAACACGCTGTCCGGGAAAATTGGACGAAGGATGGCGCGCGCGAAAACGGCCGTGTACATTCATTTTCGGGCGCGCGACGCCCCCGACGCTGCTTTTAATTATCCGAATAACGGAAACTGCACCGATCTGTCGCAATAAACTGCCGGGGAATATAAATTAATTTTAATATCACACGTACGTGTATCGCGCAACATAATTTCATTATTTTCTCCCTCGAATAATAAAGTTTCGTGCGTAACATTCTATGTACAGTCTTATTCATTAATGCCTATTCATTAATACCTCGAGGTACTATCTTCCCTCCTACTTTGGTGGATTTTCATGTGCCTCATAATTACGTATACTTTTTATTTTAACGTGTACCTCCAATTTTTGACGGTACACGCTTAAGAGTGTAGTAGGTCCGCTCTCTGACGGCCCCTTTGATCTTTGCGGTCCCGATCACGTGGTATTCCGCCGTGCACTCAGGCAGGATCCAGCGATGTGTGTGTGTGTGTGTATACGTACTCATCAAAGCCACACTACCACACATACAACTTTTCTCTCATTGGTCTGCCCAGAACAATGTCGGATGAAGGGATTGACGCAAAACGAAACAAATGACCGAGTGAATCTACTAATTATACTGTGGCAGTACCATAAATATAGTAAATATAGACTGAGCGTCTCATTGTTATTACTATTATTGTGTTTTATTGGCTCTTGACTGAGCGTTCCATTGAATAAGCTGGAGCTTGTGAAGAGAGAGAGAGAGAGAGAGAAGATTTAAAAAGACTTTCTTTCTCTGTCTTACACTATCGTAAAATAAACGAATCGTGCCTGTGCAGTACTGCATAGGCGTGATTCTCCCTTCTCATGGTGAGACAGAGAAAGAAAGTCTTGTTAAATCTTCTCTGTCTCTGACTTCACAAGCTGCAGCTTATTCAATGGGACGCTCAATCTATATTTACTATGTCTATGGGTAGTACATACGTGCAGCCTGAAACTCAGTGATTTGTATAGGATGAGAAAAATGACGATAAAACGCAGGTGCAGGTATTAATGAATAAGACTGTACAACTGTACGGTCATTTGCACCAAGCGATCGACAATTGGCATGTCAAATGCAACGAACGGCGCAATTTCGTCGATCAACCAATTACATACCAAGAGCATAGACTGATCGGGAAACGTGAGGCTCCTTCTCAGCCTGTGCCGGTGCGCTGCCTCTGAGATTTCGTCGTGAGTGCCGTTCGCCCGCAGGCATCCCCCGGCGTTGATCGATTGGCAGAGCAGGAGGAGAGCAAGAACAATCGATCCGATCATTTTCCGGAGTACGGTCGCAACGTGACACGTGGAATTCCCCGGCGTCCGATTAAGCGACGTCGAACTCCGAAGGCAGCGAAGACCCGGATTGGTTTCGGAGGCATCGCTTTCGTTGTGTGTCGCGGGGACCGTTAAACAACCCCCAGCGCAAATGTTTGCGCGGCTTCCCCGGGAGTTGCCGACGAATTGCCAGCCACGAGGCTTCGTGGCTCGAGCCGGTTTCGTAACGTCGTTTGCGCGATACGGCGAGGAGCAATTCCCAATGACAACGCGCGCATAACGACCGCGTATCCCGTAACACGCGTCTCGCATCCACCATCCGGACGCGGCTTGGACAAATATTTGAAATCAGCGCGACGCGACACGCGATTATACGACGCCGGGATCGCGAAATTGCACGTTAACGCGTCTCCGTTAATAAGTTAAGTTTGCGGCCACCGCGTCGTGCGACTGTAACACGGCTGCTAAAAGTTACGATGGGACCTCTTCGCACCTCTGTAGCGTGTCATGCGAATTAAATGTACGTCGTAACGCGAAATGGCGTAATATACGAAAGAGCGAATGCGTGCTTGGAGAGCCACGCGTGTCTCGGTGGAGTTGCTTTAATCACACACAAACACGCGCGCGTCTACGTCGCTGTTGAGAATTACTAATGCTACGAAATGAGCGTGTTTCAATTAAATTCTTCCCTGATTTGCACTTGAGGAGCACGATAGCGCTAAAGAAGGGATTACGAATAAGTGTCGCGTCAAATCTGTAACAATTCTAATTCCATGTAACCCGAGGCGGAAATCCGTGCTATACAAATGCTCAAAGGATAAGCGTAAAGGCCTGTGTCCACGATGCTAGAACTTGGTCCAAGTATTAGACACGGGGCTTAATATATATACCGGTAACATTTTTAAATATTGAAAAGGCCAGTGCTCCGAGAGCTGCTTTTCGAAGAAATATATGACTTTGGAGCACGTTGCTGATATCGTCTCACCGCAACTCGTGAGCCGACTATAATTTGGAGCATTGAGAATATGACGCAGAGCATTCAAGAACGAACACCAACAAGAAATTGAGCATAAGTTGTGTTTAATGATGACTTATACGACTTAGATTTTCGCCTCGGGAAGGTGACAATAGAACTCGATATTTGCTGCGTGTGAGTTTGCGAATGAAAATAAAGCATGTTCTTTTTCTCAATGGCAAAATAGTGATATCTCAAAAGCGTATTACGCAGCCTCGGGATTTGGCGCATTATGGAATTCTGCGTTGCACCAAACTGCTTCGCCAAAAATTTAAATTTCTCTTCGATTTATCACGGCCACTTGATTAGACTGTCAGAAGTTCTATTCAGCTTCATGTCCTTGACTTAAGGCGTCGCAACGCTGTATGTTATTTGGAAATTTTGAGAATCCCCGCTTTAATCTATCTCTCTTTCAGCCTGTCTTATAATCAGAACGTCACACAGCAACCGTACATGTTTCTTTACAGCGTTCGAAAATTTGTCTCTTCGCCTAAAAGTCCGCGCCGGTTTCACGAATCCTTTCGCGAGTCGCCAGAATAAGTTCGTTGACTCCGCGTAGTGCATCAAGGAGAAAAAAATGTCTATCGCGTCGGTGAGCCGCGAAAGGGCTGCGTTCCACTTTCGTTATGATATCACCTTAATGTCGCACTAAGAACGAACAGATCGGTACTTGGCTGATCGCGTCAGAGAAAAAAGTTTTCCCCGATAAAAGCGGCAAAACCGTGGCCTCCGGGCCCGAGCCGAAATCGAAGTCGCATTATGAAAAAGAAAGAGAAAAGAGAAGCGAAAAGTCGAACGAAAAGGGCAACGAGGCAATATCTTCCTCTTTAAGTCCGGCTTTCCGTATGGTGTCTTCAATCGCGGATACGAGCCGTTCGGAGACTGTATTCCGCGGAATAGCAACAACGTTGGCCCCTTTCAGAACGACTTCCAAGTTGTCTGCGATGGAATAAAAAGGTCAAAGGTAAACTCTCCTCTCGGTGGTGTAGCCAAGAGAATAAGCAGCGAAAGGGGCCTGTTTGTATTGTACACATACTCCGTACACTTTGTATTAGTCGACTTCGACGAGAGGCGGAATAATAAACTAGAAATAAACGTTTCCTCCGATTACGATGATACAAAGTGCACGTCGTGTCCAATGATTTTGAATTTATAGACTTTTTTACTTCCCGCGAGGATGTACCTCTCTTTCTTGCCCGCGACCGTAAATTGCGAAGAATCGTTCGCGTTTCCAACTTCGGACGTCATGATCGACGGTGGCCGGCGGCGGGTATTTCGGCCTTTAAACGGACGATCCGGTAACGTAATAAAATCTTAGCGATAATTTGTGCGAGGGCGGGGTCGGTCCGTTCCGCGGAGAAAAATGGCCGGCGGGGTAACGAGAAAAGGCGAAGTTCCGTTCCGCCGCGGCGGGATCTCTCGAGCCCGCTCGGTATCCCTTAATCTCGCAAGCATCGTGGAATATCTTTGTAGGTCGGCGCGAGTTCACGACGTCAAATTGAATCAGGACGGCCGTACGATATCTCGTAAAACCTCACCCTCGTTATGTACACGGGATCGCCGTCGGAGCCGCGGCTGAATGCAAAACGCGTATTCGCCCCACGGTCGGCTAAGCAACGTCCATTCGTCCTCCGCGAGGAAAATGGAGATGCGAACGCTCGAGCAAGATGCAAACGGAACAAAGGATTTATTCCTCGGCGAAAACTCTTCTTGACCTTCGCGCTGCTCAGCGGGGATGAAAATCCTTGTACACGCGGAAATCTGACTTTCCTATCTCGCGTCTGCATATCGTGTTGCAGACGAGTGTTGTACGCGCTCTGGGAAAAAAGACAGCAACACATTTTGGGGCCCACAATTAGTAATCGAATTATTTGGATTGTTCGTAACTCTACTCTGGGAAAAATTTTGACCGTTTCCTTTGTAGTTACCCGAGTCGAAAATTTGGCCCTTTGTTGAACCTTTAATTCTATTATACAGCAGGACTTAAGACAGTAAAAGAGGCCGAACTGCAAGTACAAAATTTACTCCTACTTTAAAACCGATAGTGTCGGAAATTTCTACTTTTGCCAATTTAGCATTAAAGTGGGTCTTTTTAAGTAGGAGCTAAAGTAAATTTTTAAGATTCCTGAGAGAAGTAAAAAAATATGTCATCAAATTATCCTTAAAAGTGTCAAAATAGTACAAAAATTTCTACTCGTAACTAAACCAGAGTCGAAACTTTGGCCCTTTGTTGAACCTTTAACTCTATTATACAGCAGAACCTAAAATAGTAAAAGAGATCGAACCGCAAGTACAAAATTTACTCCTACTTTAAAACCGATAGTGTCGGAAATTTCTGCTTTTGCCAATTTGGCATTAAAGTAGGTCTTTAGTAAATTTTTAGAATTAAAGATTCAAGGTAGGAGTAAAACATGCAATGTCATCAAAGTAGATTATTGCTGGTCTATGTAGGTGTATAGATCAGCTAAGTAGGTGTAAGTTATCCTTAAAAGTGCCAAAATAGTACCAAAATTTCGACTCGGGTAAGCAACTTAACATTTCCGTTAGTGCCTGTTAAGTGAAAATTATCTTTGCGTTATTGAATATCGACAGAACTAATTGAGAGAATTGATTAGTATTACTTTAAAATCTTGGCTACAGATAGGAAAGGTAATAGCGATTTTTGGTTACGCGGGGTAAAATTCGTAAAAGATTAGAGTTACGAACTATCCAAATAATTCGATTACTAATTGTGGGCACCAAAATGGGTTGCTAACTGTCCTTTTTTTGCCCAGAGTGTTATGTGAATAAAAAAAAATGGGGGAAGATTAATGCGTCGCAAAATTAAATTGCGGTATCGCGGGGACGCCTCGGTTAAAGAACGGGATTCGCGCAAAGTGCTTCCTTGACAGCGCGGCAGGGAAACATTTCCGCGGCTTCGATCATTTCTCTTTATATCGGGAGAGGTCGGATTGCGGGGTACAATGCACAAAATCGGCGGTGAACTAAAAATAAATGGTTACGTAACAGAGCTGCGCGCGGGGTATTTCTGAAACAAAAGAAGACGTATGCGGGGTCAGTTTATCACGCTGGTCAACAATGGCGGTATCGGAAGATCTATTTTCCGCGATAGTTGCACGCGCCGCTCCAGGCGAAAATTGAAAAAAATACCCGCCGTTCGTCAGCGCCTTGCAAGTGGCTCGAAACGAATGATAAAGTGCCCGGAAACCGAAAGTGCGGCGGGAAAACTTCTGCTTCAATTCTATCGAAACGTTCCGTCGTAAAGTCTCGCTTTACATAATTACAACACGTGTGCAGTTTGTTAAAAACTTGGGAACATATCGGCCTGACTCTTTCTGAACTTGATGCAGATTGATAGCAATCACACACCCCCCCATCGTCGACTGTAATTCACGTTAGGACATTTCGGCAGCAGTAACGTGTTGAACACGTTCCCGTTGCGAGTCGGAAACTTGCTGGTCGCCGATCGATATCTTTTTGAATAATCCCCAGAGAAGGCCGATTCGTTTCCTCTTACCACGACGAACAGTCGAACAGGGATACAGGAGGGTGAGTTTTATTACTCGTCGTCTCGGAGTTGTAATTCAATTCCACGCGGCGGAATCCACGACAGTACATGCGAACTAAAGCCAATTGCCCTGTCCACTTGAATCGAGCGGTTCTAGTCGACTACAGGTTAAACGGACGCGTTCTATCAATTCTAATAAAAACACAAATTCGAAAACTATTTTCGGTCGATCTCTCCGAGCCTAATCTCGAGATTTTCCCCTCTAAAACAAAAAAAAACTGTGAAAGCTTCAAGAGTTTTCGATTTAACGGCAATCAAAAATAAAGAGCCCTTCGCAAACTGGGACAATTGGTGGGAAAAATTTTACATAAAAAGGTATCATCGTGTTCCATAAATTCAGGTATCGGACAATAGGTTCGAGACCACTTGATAAAAAATATATACACGTAACGGAAATGATAGCATAAAACAGATTCGCGAAATGTGAAACGGCGTTGGCAGCTCTCGTCGTCGAATTCTATAGCGTCGGTATCTTCTATATTGCCGCCACGCCAGGATATCCGTAACCTTGAACTCTCGCCGAAGGCCTCACAAAGGCCGCTTATTATCTTTTTTCGCCGCTTTGATCGCCGGAAGACGTCGAATCACCTGATCCTACTTTTCACGTCGCGTTTCTCTGGGGATAACGTGATATCGAGATTTTCCCAATCCCCGTCCTTTTCGCGAGTCTGTGCTTTTTCATCTATTCGAAATCGCGTGACACTGAAATTTCCAACTTTTCAAAAGTTCCGCGCTTGAATATGATCGTTAACGAAATGTCGCGCCTTCGCACCGACAAGTAGCGGCTTAGAAAATTCAATTATTATTAAATTATCGGAACAAAGAATAAATCGACTTAACTCGGCCTTTGATCGTTCAAAAATAATTTGCTTGCATTACAAAAAAGTACTGTCGTTATCTCCGGTGTTTTATTTTGGGACATCCAGTGCACATTTACGTCGAGGCATGCGAGATGCCTTTTCTAAGCTCGTAAATTACGAGCTCCGTCGCACAGTCGTGCACACACACGAGCTGATATTACAAATATTAAAGAACAGAACAATGGGCGGGGCGGAAGTAAATGGACGAAGGAAATGGCGAGAGGAAGCACACGGAACCAAGAAGGATGAAGGACGCGCTGCTTGCGACTGAACGTGACGCAGTTATCGGATGTTATTGCCAATACTCTCGTTCGACAACAGGTGCATGCGAAGAGAAAATGGTCTGCTCGAAATTTATAGCGGCCAAGAAAACCGGCCACTAATCACGACGCGGTGAAACGGAGCTGTTATTAAAAAGGATACATCGTTTGTGTCTCAAAATCTGCTCGATTTCGCTTCTATTGTGTGGCGTGTTTTGTCAAACGTACAGAAATTATATCCAAATATTCCGGTACAAGGCATGTAATTGCCTAATACAAATTAGTCGCAATTAGAAATTGAATTGGCCAAAATTAAGAGTTCAATAATTTGTGTTGAGACTTTTCAAAATTTAGATTATAGATAAAATTATCTCGATTATAACTCAATCGTTAATGACTTAGTCGATCATTATTTACTACACCGTAAACGTCAAAATATATTTTGTTTTAAAATATACCGCGGCAAATAATATTTTCTCGTACAACGTCAGAGAAAAAAAATCTGCCGATTCTACTATCGCGATTAAAACGATCTCCCTGCGCGACGTCCACGAATCCTAATGGTCTTGATTAAACGTAAAGGCGCAACGTAAGGTCTACAATGAGAACCTCTCCTAGAATGACATGGCTATTCTAATATCTCGGTAAAATAATCTAAGAGGCTTTCCGTGCACTCCGGAAATAAATCGTAACAACTGCTGGGGTCTCGTTGACCTGCGATCTCAGCGGCACGATATTCTTGATCGAAGGCGTTCCTGAATGGCTCAGATGTGGTGGAAGGCCTGAAATATTTGCATTACAAAAATAATCACGTCTTTAAGACGCAACTGTCGTTTCTCACGCGGAAAAAAAAATTATGAAACAATATCCCGAGAAGTAGAGACATTATGCAGAGCATACAAACGTTCCATTCATTCTGAATAAATGTCTTATGCTCGCATGCACATGAGCCTAGGTATGCATTAACAGTCACACAATACGGCCGTGTATGTAGCGCAAACTATTCACATTTCTAAGCCGCAACAATGGTACGGCAAATGTAACAGTTCCTTAATCGCCAAGCTATTCCGGCTTAGCTAAAGATTATTCTAAGAGACTACCTGCCGGATTAACGCTTACGTGAGGAAAATATGAGCGAGCTGCGCAGTCAGAGTATGGCTCCGTCGAAAAGGCACCGCCGCGGCTTCGCAAATGGTTTTCAAAAGGCAAGCTTTCCCCGAACGCGTAGACTCGAAGGCCGACTCGAGGATTTCGTAATACTCCCATCTGGACATCAAAGCCCCTTCACGTCGAAAAAATAACAATGGAAACACAGATGAAACGTATGCAAAAAAAATAATACAAATAAATACAATATTGAAATTATGACAGAAAAGTGAAGTGTACGGCACGAAACGTTCACGAATACGTTGTGTATTTTTAACTAATGGATTATTTGTAAGATATCATTTCTGTAAACACTAAGTAAAATACTTCTTTTTTAAAAAATAACAATATTATGTATACTTCAAAGTAAATAATATGCAAAGAAATGATTCTTTTTTCTAGTCTTTTTCTAAGATTGCAGCTCTGTGCACAAAATATAATATAAGCTTATGGTTAAACGTATGTACAATAATTTTTGTTTCTTGTATCGCTGCCGGTCAATATCTTGGAAAATATCGTCAAAGGCCGTCAAGTATCCGAGAATCAAACGCCACGAGTCGTTATGAGTCCAATACAGCGTAAGAAGAGGCACGACAGAAAAAAAAGGAATAAGGAAGGATCCAGGCTACGTCAGGATTAACGCGATCAAAGGGAATGGGAGAGTCCTCCGATAAAGGAGCAGGATTAACGTCTATTGTGCCAGGACGTAGGCGCACGAGTCACGCAACAAAAGTAGGCTTATTAACATTTAAAGGAAAAGGACCCTTGCCTTATCCCGATAGGCGGTATTAAGCCTTGTTCTGCGCTTCTCGAGTACACTCGTTAGATTTCGAAGGACGGTATTCCACTCGAGAACCCTCTCGATACATCTTGTCATCCACGCTGCCTCCTACATAATATCTCACGCTTTCTCTTCGATATCTGACCGTCTTCCTTTCGAACGTGTAGAAGCAGCGGGCCCGAGAAGCGGGAGGACGTAAAATTCATAAGCCTTTCGCTGGGGGACTTTTTCGCGAAGTTCCGGAAAATGTGATCCTCGAGATAAACTTTATCTTTCCATATTCACTCAGGTGCGTGCCGCAGCATCCGCGCCAGATCGGTATCTTTTTTTATTAAGGTCCGGTTTCACCAACGTTGTTTAACTTTACGCTTAGCCCAAGTCGTTCTTTGTCTCTTTCCAACTGTTCCTTTAGAAAGAGACAAACACGAATTAAACTAATTAAGGTTAAGCGACGTTTGGTAAAACCGGGCCTAAGAGCTGTTTGAGCGCGACCGACTCGAGCGATGATTTTGAGCTTATTTCCTTCCGATTCCCAAGTGTGCAAACACAATGCGGTGATCAACTGTATTAACAATATTTGTGTATATAAAACATAAAAGTTCAATGTATTAATACACGGGAAAAAATGCTGTTAAATTAAAAAAATAAAGTTGTTTGAATTAAACGTCACGGGCTGCCACAAACATAAAGAATTCACTCAATTGTATTTGCTATGGATTTTAACTTGAAGCATTAAACTAAATATCCAGATTATTAGGACAAACGTTGTGTCAACGATTTTATTTTTCAATTACACTTGATATAACGTTTTTTCCCGAGTAATCTATATTAAACTTGAAAACACGAATTGAAACCTTTGCGACACAATTCGACAATAGCAGAAATTTAAATTAACGCTACGAGTCCAATAATTTGGACAATGATTTGAGATATCGTTTCGTTTATACGTTTGAAGGCCCTTCGAATAGAAATACCACCACAATAGTTCCAATTAATTCATACGGAATTAATAGAGACCCTAATGCCACGGATTAGCCATTTGAATAATGATTCGAGGTTATTTTATTTCCCGATACAAGCCGAGCGGCCCTCTGGACGGACAATGGCTTCAATTAATCTCACATGCCGCGCAGGCAAAGAACATGATACCTTTCGCATTTGGCGGAGAGGCGTCATTTCCATCAGGCTCGACATGGCGGTTGATCGATCTGTCATAGCGGACGTATGGATCCGTCAAGTACGAGGCGTTATACGGCAGGACGTAATTAAATTTCATCACGTAGCCGATAATCATGCTGACGTCAACTTCCATGGGTAAACCGAGGCCGAGGATTAACTGGAACGGTTTTCAAATATAGGAAGGTGTCATCGATCGTTTGCCACAACCAGAGATCGAATCACCCCGGCCCTCCCTCCCTCCCGCCTCTGCCATCCGCTCTCTCCAGTGCCACGAGCGATCGAGGTTCAACCACACGAAATTAGATCGGAAAATGGATGTCCCAAAACTCTGTGATTCGAATAGCCGGCGATATCGCGGATCCTCCATCAAACGTGTCGCCCGCCGTCGAGATTGTACAAAACGATCCCAATAACGCGATAACAGGCCGATTTTTATTTAACTTTTATTTAATTTCCAAGCCAAGTGAACTTTGTTAATGGTTGCCCGAAATAAATCAACTAAAATGAAAATCTGAGGCGATGCTCTCGCTTCTCTACGCTACGCCGAACAATCTTGTTTTATTATTAATTCTAATTTGAGAAGAAAAATTTCAACACATGGCAGCACAGTTTATCAGTGGGAATTGAAATATCTAATCACGCGCAGGCATTTCAGATACACGCGACAACTGTAATAATCGAAACGATTAAGGCAAAACAAATCTCTCTAGTTTATTTATTTAGCAATATCCCTTGGTAGTCCCGTCGAATTGTCGGTCTAACCGCGATTTTTCACACGGCCCCGTTTGTTTTGTCCCGGGACACTTTCCGAACCTGTGAACTCGCACCACATACCTGAACTTTCGTCGGAGTATAGTCTCTGGGCGGCGGATACACCAGGTATCTCTTATCGCGCGCGAGCCAGCCGCTACTTTGAGATAAAGTGGCGGCATAAATATCGCGAAGGTAGACACCCAGGATCGCCAGCGAGAACATACGGGGGATTCGCATTCTTAAACACACCGTCGGGACTGACGATTTGGCGCCGATCGGCCGGGGCGGTCGAGCCGCGCCAATTATCGCAATTAATAGCACTGATTAGCCGGCCACCGCGTGTTAAGCGGATAATGAACGGAAACGTTTTCACTTTGAGAGCTTTACGCGCGACGATGCAGGCGGACAACATTTAGATGTGGTACTTGCACACATATATGAGAAATGGATCAATCAAGAGATATGTTAAACATCTAGAAGAACTTTATATGTTTAACGCAAAGAATTATTTGACGCCAGTACACGATGCGCCAATGTAGAAAAATTGTTAAGCGACGCTAACGGGCAAATTCTAATTAAAGAAATTTGTCGCGAAAAATATTACCTCAGCCAAAGTTTGAACCTGGACTTCCCTGCACTCTAGGCGGGCGTCTCATCAATTCGACCACTGAAACATGTGGTTTATATATTTACATTTAATAAATTTTAGTCATAGCTATGCAGGAGAAATTTGCTTCCATTCCCCCCCTCTCTCTCGCTCTCTCTCTCTCTCTTTCTCTCTCTCTCTCTCTGTTCATATGTGTAACAATGAACTCGAACGTCACGGCATCGACTCGTCGCGGTCATTTGACGCAGCAGTTAATCTCGTAATTAATCTCAGCGACGTAATCGCCCTGAAAGGGTTTTGATTACTGACAACTCAATAAATTTGCGCCAACAGCTAGTTCAGATGCGGATTCTCACGATTTAAAGCGGGATCAATGTGGGATGCGCCACAGCGGAAAATCTTCTTACGGATTTGAAGAACCGATGTCAGCAAGATTGCAACGCGCACCGAGGTTTTGTTACAATTAATTCTGCTGCATGTATAGAAACGGTATTACTCGAGGTATTATTCGTCCTGATGAAACAGCAACGAATTGAACTCTCGATGATCTCGTTTGCGAGGAAAATTTATAATTGTAAAGTAGGCGATCACCGTGTACATTCCATATACACCGGATTTATTACCGGATGTATTTCCAATCATCTCATTTAATTAAATATAAAATTTCCTTTTATATTGCTCTCACCGGGGCTCCGCAAGATTTAATTTATTTTACTGATCTTATTTCTTATCTCACATTTCTCACTTCTTGTTTTACAAATCCAGAATCGATCCTATAATTTTCAATTTAATATATTATTAAAAGAATCTGAATATTTTAGCGAAATAACGCATACGCAAAGTTCATATTATCCTTCAAACAGTGTCCAATGTTCATCTTAATGGAACTTCAATTCGGATCTTACAAAGTAATCTATCGTTGGATATTTAAAAAATCGCACTTCAAATTGCTTAATAAATCCATGGAACGCGCAAGCGATATTTCTAGGAGAGTTCCGTTAACAATCTGGTACGATGTGTACAAAAAATGAAAACGTAGCTAACGAGACGGCATGATTTTCTCAATAATGTGTAACGAGAACGCGCGAGTAGCGAGGGATTGGTAGAAAAGCAAATTCTTGTACAAACATACTTGTGCAACAACATACAATCGCGTGACGCGCAATATCATGTGTATTATGCGACGTTAGAATTTATGCTCGAAGCAACCCTCTTCCCCCTCCCCCCCCCCCTCCGTGATTACACGAGCGACATGTTTGGATATAAATTTCTGTCGATAGGTAGGTATTGAAAAATGCTCGAGATTAAAGTTGCTCGAGATCGTGAAAAGCTCGCTATTTAAAAAGCTGCGCTCGTCGACCCACTTTCCGAGTATCCTCTCGCCACGCCCCGCGAGGGATCGGGTCGACGATCGCTCTATCGTTAATATCGAAGCGGCTAGTAATAACAAGTGGCCGGCGACGCACCTTCGCCGTTTTCGCTCGATATTAAAAATGCCCGTTATCAATAACATAGTCCCCGCTCCGTCAGGCATGAAAGTGTATCCGAGCGAGTGGAGAATCGAGAAGAAACGCGGAAAAGCGATGCGTCTCGCAGGGTGGCGGCGAATCACCCCCGACCTGCACTCGCGCGCTCGCGTTTCCCCTCGCGTTAGGAAACTATTTCGAGTAATAAAAAGAAAAATATATGCAGAGAGAGAGAGAGACAGAGAGAGATAACGGGATACGCGAGAGATTTCCCTCGCGCGTTTTCCCGCGGAGTTTGATTGTACCGGTTGATACGGCGATATCGGCTCGCCGGGACCGGCGTCACCATTCCAGGGGCGAGGTGGAAAAAGGTAACCGAGAAAACGTGGTTATGAAAGGTGATTATCGAGAAACTCGGTATGCGGGCCCGACGAAACTCGTCGCGGAGAACTGTCTTCAATCCACCGGCTTCTGTGAACGGGGGGTAGTTTAATGCCGCGCGCATTTCACAGACGGCGGATAGCTGACGTCGGAAAATCTCATAATGGCGAGGGAAAAAGTAAGGCTCGATTCTATAACCACAGCAAACGATGTTGACGGGGATTATCCGCGCTTATTTTTCCTACCCCCTAGATTCGACCGCGCCCCGCCCACGTTCTCGTGCTCCCCCGCACTTTCCACCGCACTTTCCACCCTTAATCTCAATACATTCGCCGTCTCAATCTTAACTTTGAATCTATTAACTGCACATCCGTGTTGTCAAACCACGTTCGCGAACGCATGAATAAATTTCTGTAACGTTGAATTAAATTTTCTTTACGGAGAGGGAAAAAGAATACGTGTCTCCCGTCTCGCCTCTCTCATATTGTTTTACTTTTCTTTTATTACAACGCATACCTTTTAAGAAATCTGCCTTTATGCTAGATAATATAAATTTTGTTTTATGTCACTTTTTCTCAAACGAGATACGCTTGTATTATTTATCCTTTTATACATTTATCTCCCTGTTTATGGAAAGATTTTTCAGCCTGTTCATAACACAATGTGCTGTACATAAAATAATAATTTTGTGATAAAGATAAAATTGTGTAACGTGTAATAAAATTCCGTAGCGGCCAACCTCAATCGCTTACATGCGAATTTCAATAACGGACAAAGGACCTGAACTTCGTATTTGTGAAAATCGCTGCACACCGTTGATATCCCTGAAAACTCGATCGGAACGCTCGCTTTTGGCACAGACAAGATTTATTTACAGTGGAACTTATTCCTTATTCCTGTGCCAAACGCATCGAGAGCGAACAGTGCCTAATATTTCCTCATAAGCAATCACATAAAATCCCATAATCGCAAGAAGGAAGGAAACTGGCTTGGTAAATACCCTCCTCGCCGCGCCGAATGAAAGAAAACGAATGGCAAGAAAAACGATTGAAACTTTTTCCAGCTTGAAACGTTTCCAGCGACGCGAGCTCTACTCCGAGGATCATTTATCTTTTCCCAATACAACGGAATATTCCCGACGCCTCAAACGTAAACGAAACGCGAGTCGAGGCTTTAAGCGGCGCGGGTTTTCGAGAGAGCAAAACTTAAAGTAAACTTTTCCGCAAACTCCTTATGAGCGGCATCGGTAAGCACATTGGTAAGCACTTCCGGAAAAAGATTGCATTACCGTAGCAATTACAAGGAAACCTTTTTATTAGTAGAGTTTGTAACCGTACAAGTACACAGAGGATAACGCGATTCTTTTCTAATTGTAAATTGCGGTCAACTAATTATCAAACTCTTCGACATTTT